CTGCCGCCCTGGCGTCCTCTTCCACAACATCTTCGTCCCCGCTTTCCTCCTCTAAATAAAAAATGGATGACGGAGGAGACTCATCCATGACCTCCGACACTAAACTCTTCTCCTCTTGCATGTTTCCGCTGTCCATAGCGTTCCTGGACAGTGTCGTTTCTAAGTCTCCAATTTAGTGCTACTTGGTCCCAATGGAATTTCCCATTTGGAACCTATTAGCACTAAGTTGCTAACTGGTTAGCAAGATGCTTCCGAGACACAGGCCACAATCAAACTTGCCTGCGAACCTTGAGACTTTTTGATTCTGTAATGTAGGATTTGATCTAGATGGGTGAATCTGGCCTCATCTTTATCAGAACATCCATGACTTCGCCAACTGCTGTCCAAAACACAGAGGTAGACTGTTTTAATTTTATGTTAAATACAAGAATGTCAATTTTTTTTAATAATTGCATTAGATTTTTTTAATATGTTAAACTAAATAGAAAAATTTCTATAACATTGGCTGAAGATTTAAAACTAAACTAGTAAATTCTTTACTTTGTAATAACTTTTCCACAGCGTTATGTTCTAGCGTTAATGGTTTTGTTTTCTTCTGACATAGAAATAACCACATTAAATTATATTTTTAATATTGCTACTATTAGATCACTGGCAGTGTTCTCAGCTAGAGAAGTAATAAAGTCAGTACAATTTTATCCCTATAGCACCTTTCACAGACACTGACATTACAAAGTGCTTCACTGAAGCCAAAGAATAATAAAAAAAAAAGGACAAAAAATGCTGCAGAAAATGTTTGTCTAGATAAAAGTCTCTTTAGATTTTTCTACTTTTAAAGAGTGGGTTCTGTGTAGGGACAGCAGGAGAATGTTCCAAAGTCTGAGTCAATTATCTTAAAGTTCAAGGTGGAGAATGAGGCTTTGAAAGATCCTGTTTGCCTCTAGGAACCTGACTGTGGATTGCTCTAAATTAAAACAAAAAGATACAGGTAAACAGTACGTGGAGGTCAGCACAGGAGTAATATGTGTCCTTCTATTTGTTTTTTGTCAGCAGTCCTACTGCAGCATTTTGCAAACATTGAAGAGAGGCCAAGGAGATTTATTTCAACTGTTGAAAAGACTATTGCAATGGTCTAAAAAGGAAAAAAATAAAAGCACGAAAATCAACTCAGTCTGTCACACTCTATTTTGAAACATTCTTTGTGTGATTGAAAGAGTTAGGAACTACTGTTTTACAACGACTGTCAAAGGGTAAGGAAATGTTTAAGACGACCTGCAGGTTTGGAGGAGTGTTTTTCACAGTAAAGCAAATATTGTGAGATACTGCCTGATTGTAGGAATTTTATTATTAATAGGGGTTTTAGTTTTGTTTTAATTTACCTGAACATAGTTGATATAAAGAAACATTGTGAATTCTGAAAGATGCAGACTGAGTTCTCATAGCTTGTAGATGGTGGTAAAAAGACCAATACAGCTGAATATCTTCAGCATATAAATAGTAACAAACATTTTTATGGCATTTTGAGATGTTAAAAATCCTACAATCATTTTAATATCTTAAAATGCTTTAAAAGCCCTGGGATGACCACAAGCCAATGGTGCACAATCTTAGTAAAGCCCCAGTAACACCATGACGATTTAGCCAGCGTTTGCCTGATGTCCCAGAATCTTATAAAATGCTGGCATACTCTGAATTTCTACATATTTTTTCAACGTTGGGTGTTTATATAGAGTATTCATAACAATTCATAATAAGTCCAGAACAAATGTCCAACGACAGCCTAACTCATTCATAACTCACGGCAGCGTAATGTCCATGAAATGATGCACAAACCAGTCTCCTGAGCGGGGCTGCAATACGCTAAAGGCACCCGGCCTGCATACATTTTTTTATTTATTTGCGGTACTAACCTGCTGCTGTTTATAGCAAGCCAAAAAAACAATAACAATAAATAAATAAAAAGAAAGAAAGAAAGAAAGGTTTGCTTGTTTGTTGGTCGTGGGCATGGGCATGAACGAGGAGGAGGATCCATCACAACCTCACCTTCTGGCTCACCCTATGATGGGGATGAAGTCTGGAGGAGAACTGATAGTTTCCTCCTGTGAACCCCCTTTATACCAAAACACTGATAGTACACCATTATACAGAAGCTAGAAGTGTTCAGCGGTCATCTGGAACACGTCAGATACGTCGATATTTGCATTGAAGATAAGTTCTTGATAAGCTACGCATTTATGCACAATTTACTCATAGTTTCTAGATAAGCTAGACACAATGACTTATGAGTAACTTACACTTAACGTAAGTCAATGATCAGATAATTTCCTGTAACTTACTGTATGGCTTACGCTGGCATACGTTGAGAAATTTTTCAACATGCTTGGAATATGTTGACATTTGCCAGCGTGTTTCAGCATGCTTCAAATGATTATAACTTATACAAAACGTACCCATTTTATCCAATGTATGCCAGCGTTTTTGCCAGATTTTTTGTATGTCAGGCATACTGTATGCTGGTCTCAATCGTCAAGGTGTGACAGTGGCTTTTAACCTGGTTTATAAACAGTAAAACAAATTGTTGCAAAGTAGACAATTTAAACTACTTTAACAGGAATACAAACCAAGTCACAGTCTGTGAATATGAATAGTATAATCCTTGTTGTCAAAACCCGCTTTTAAGTCAAGTAACAAAAATGAAAAGATTCTATCCCTTTAATCATATTTTTCCAAAAATGCTCAATACCACCTATTTACTATACGATCTAATACTGAGTAAAGTATGATATGTTGTTGACAATACAGATAAGACACATTTTTGCAAATACACCTAATGTAGCTGCTCTATAGTAGTGGTTTTAAACCTGGCTCTTCAGGACTCAATGTTCTGCATGTTTAGGGGGTTCCCTGCCTTAATAAACGGATGATTAACAGTCCTCTTCTGGCCTTGGTGGTTGCTAAAGAGGAATGCAATAATCTGCTGCAGCAGAAACATGTCTAAAATAGAAAAACTGAGCCCCATGTTTGAAAACCACTGCTGTATAATTGAAAATCCCTTTGAAATATTTAGTTAAATAAATACTTTAATTATTGCATGAAATTGTCTATACACATATTTTAAATATTAACTTTACAGTTATATATATTTCATAAAGTTTTTTTTAAACCATCTAATATATATATTTTAAAGTTTTACAAAGCTGTTTTCTATCTTTTTAAGTATCATCAACTTTAAATGATTCACTTGTTTGGAAATATTACCTAAATTGAGCATTTCTTCCGGTGTAAGAAGCTGAATTAATGCAGTTATTTGTTGGAAGCAAGTATTTATTCTGTAACTTATTTTATAAACACTCTTATGAATATGAGTAATTTGAACTGCAGCCGTGTTTATTGCCATTTAAAGCTCCACAAATTATCACTCTTTAACTGCACCGTACATACCTGCTTTCTGTTTTGCAGCAGCAACACCTGTGCTCTTCCTCCTCTGCAATGGAAAAACAATCTGGAAATAAGTAAAAATGTCTTAAAATAAGCGTATTTATCCTTAATTTCAGTAGGTAAATGAGATAGTTTGCCAATAGAATTAGTATTTTTACTCTTAAAATAAAATAATTAAATATCATTTACTTGAAATAAAACAAAGCAATTGTGTTTTATTATTTTAAATGTAAATTATCTTCTCCCATTGGCAAAGTGTCTCTTTTACCTCCTCAATCCAAGAACAAATGTACTTATTTTAAGAAAAAAGTGACTCATCTAGATTTCGACTTTTTCCAGTGTGTCCCCATCACCAGCCCGGCATATTCTGTGTTGCAGTTTAACCTGCAGTGTTTGACCAGGCTGTCATGTTGCAAAAAACTTTTCACTGTTTTCCAACAGTCATCACAGATCACATGTGGGTTAGATAAAATAACTTGTTTGAAGAATGAATAGAAGATGATCTCCCTCTGTTTGTTTGAGCAGCGCATCATCCCTACTGACCCATTACACAGCCCACTCCCTACTTCCCTCCAACTCCCTGCAAAATCCCCTCCAACTTCCATCCAATGGAGTGACCCCCTCTTGCATAGTATTTTAATCTGACTCCACCCTTTTACTGAATTACAGCGTCTGACCAGGAGATGACGCTTCTCTTTAGATCTTAATGTTCACAAATCATGACCGAAAGAATATTTTAGCACAAATATTGAATGGCTTCTACTGATTTCAATTTTCCTGTTATTATCCATAGCATAAATGACTTTAGAATTAAAAGCATCAACATTTGAATTTAAAAGTTATCTGGTAACATCAATACCTCCGTGCATTCGTTTAACTGTTAAAAATTCAGTGTGGCATGTGAGCTTGTGCACTTGATGAAATGTGTGTGTCGTATGGTGAGTGCGTGACAGTTGAGAGTCCTGTCTATGAAGCTAAAATCATAAAACATGATTCGCTTGAATGACGGCAGCGCCCTAAACCCAGTGGAACCATCCATGTGTTCAGCAGTCAAACAAATGAAAAATGACTTTTCTCTCCCTATTTTTCTCTCCCATCCCCACAAAACTTGTTGTAACTGACTGTCCTGTAGAACAAAGAGATAATTTTTTTTTTCCTGGCAGCCGGTCACTGTAGCATTGCTGGCTAAAACATGAATAACTCAACTGGAGGCCTAATTTTTCAGCCGGTCTGCCATGCTTACCCGCTCCATGTCTCACTGTGAGGAGCTTCTGTGACTAAACTAAAAGGTTCAGAGCCTTCCCACCCGTGTTTTACACCACAGGCTTTATTTCAGTCTGTCCAGCTTATGGATAGATGATTTTCTAAGGTCCAGATAAAAGCTCCATCCGTGCATTCACCTCCAAAGACCCCTACATTAAAGAGTTAAATGGTCACTAAAATCTTCTATTTGAATCTTCTCCTTTTGCATCATCATTTATCCTGGTTGAATCTAGATCTATTTGTCTCTAAATTTGAGATGAACAGGATAAGTTTTTGTTCTACAAAGATTGAGGGTATTTTGCACTTCACTTTCATAAATGAATCATGATTTCATTAAAAGATAATCCTTCTGTGCATCATACTGTAGAGGATGCAGCCACCTCCTGATTACCTCCAGCCCTGTTCATTTAGCTTATGGGTAGAACCTGATCAGGTCCAGGAAATCCCACACATCCTGCCTGGAAGTCCTGAGTTTGAAAGTAGCTTCAGCTGAGGTTTTCTTTTGTTCCTATGGATATAAAAGAGGCTTATCTCTTCATCAGCAACCTCTTCATAAGCTATCAACACAAACAGTTCAGCGCAGTTTATAAATACAGATTGGTTCTATGTGTCGGTGACTCATACATTTGAGACACAGGAGAGAGTGGGCTGAATCTGTGGAGATAACTATTTTTGTTCTACTCTTCTTTTTCCAGCTATTTACGAGTCATCCTGCGAAGCCTACAAGCTGAGTGGCAGCTCCTCGGGCTTCTACTTCATCGATCCAGATGGGAGTGGTCCCTTGGGGCCCACACAGGTATACTGCAACATGACAGGTGAGATCATGGTACCCCTTGTTTTTTTATGTATACATTGCTCATGTATGTGAAAAAGGCGGAAAAAAAAACATCAAAAAGCGTGATAGCGATAAAACTTCTCACTGTAGAAACCCAAAGCATTTGTCTTTAGTGATTTTATCTTTTTCTGCCACCTAATCTCTCGAGAACATCCTGGGTTGAAGATTAATTAAACACGTTATCTTGGGCTGCATCAAATAATGCAAACTTGCCTCTGTTAAAAGGGCATCTTGTACAGTCAAGAGTCACTGAGAGCAACCACGTAAAAAAGAAAAAAGATTACAGCTGGAGAAGCTTAAAGATCTAAAGCCCCTCAGGTTGCCTCTGGAGGCTGTGATTTTCTGTGGAGTGTGGGCTTGTTAAAGACTAAAGTGTTGACCCCCATGAAAGGATCAATGGACTGTGTGAATCTCTTCTTCAGGATGGCTATTTTTATTTCTAAAACAATGTACGTCATTCTGATGCAAGCAGTGAACTTAACCTGGTGACAAATTAATTATAATATCCCTAATTTCTTAAAAAATGTCTTCCTTTTAAAATCTTTTGTCCCAGTCCTGTTGTTCACGGACAAATAATAACCTTGTAGTCTTATGTATTTATGCTGTTTGCTAGAAAAAAACAAACCAAGCTCCAGCAAAACAAACATGCTCAGCATGGTAAGCGTGCAGGTCTCCACTTTCTGCTCCAGTGTTGGACTTTGTACAGTAATCTTGCTTAAAAATTAAACAAGATTCTAGTAACATAAATACCTACCATTGCCTAGTTCTGGCAAGGTGAAAAAAGTAATTAGATTTTAGTAATAAGGAATCAATTAAAGGGAATTTAAGTGGTGATATTATTCTAATGGAAATAAAAGTTTAAAAACTCTTCTTAGCAATAATGGCAGGGTTCTCTCTGGGATTTTTTTATGAGTGAGGGGAGATGCTAAAACTAAATATTTTTTATATTGTCTACTCCAAAAAGTTAAAGTTAAAAAACAATCGACTGGATTTTGTTTTCCCAATTTTGAAGTTGTTTTGCTTCCCATCCAGGAAGCTTTTTCAATTTAAAATGTCTGGATTAGTGTTGAGTTCCAAGCTTTAAAGAGTAGCCAAACAAAAGCCTTTTTATGTCTTAGAACAGCGGTCCCCAACCACCGGGCTGCGGACCGGTACCGGTCTGTGGGTCATTTGGTACCGGGCCGCATAGAAAAAAGTATATATA